CTGGGCGACAGAGTGAGACTCCAGTTCAAAAAAAAAAAAAAAAAAGAAAATGAAGGGCTGAGTTGAAGCATCAGGTTGGCCATGTGGATTCCCCACACTTCAGCCTCACTTTTGCAACTGCTTCAGGAAAAGCAGTCAGGTGGGATCAAGCCAGAAGTAGCGTAAATTCATCTGGGGCTGTAGGAGTTGGCAGTGGCTAAACTTCTGCAGCTCACCACCCTGCAGGCACTCAGCTTTTCATGCAGCATCTAAGTGGGGAAAAAAAAAAAAGGAAGTGAGGTCCTTTTCTTTTGGTGAATAATCTTCTGGCTAACTCTGGCTGTTTCCCGTATTCAAATGTTTACAAAGAGACTTCTCAAAGTGTTCCTGAACCTCGTGGCAAAAGGGAAAAAGTCAGAGAGGCTTCCTAGCCCACCTGCAGTCTCTGGGGTCAGCCCATGACAGGCTCTCCAACAGGAGTCAAGCAGGTCACCCCTAAGCCTCCCTGCCTCTGCAATGGTGCAGTGGACTGGGTCTGCATCCCTGAGCTTTTCTGATTCACAAGCAGAAAGTTGAGCTAGAGACCCTGTGCTTTTAACCTTTACTCTTTAAAATGCATCAGTCTGCTCTGTTTGACAATGGGCTGGGTTTCTCTGATGACAGGGCCCTTGGGTGTCATTCTCAGCATCACTGTTTCCTTCCCAGATTCTGGAGATGGGCAGAAAAGGCAGATGCAGAGCAGGCCTCTCTGGGAAGTACCTGAGGAGGGCAGAGAAGCCCATGTTTGCTGTTTCTGATGAATGCCCGGCTGGGCCACTCAGTTCTTGGCAGCGAACGGCTCCCTGGAGGCCATCCCTTCACCAGGCTCAAGATAGGAGGACAGAAAGCATCTGGCCACAGTGTCTGGACAGAATGGCTAGGGAGTCTGGGGACTGCTCAAGAGCTCATGTAGGGAAAGGTCATTCGTAAGGTGACTTTGCAAACTGGGCTACTCAGGATAGAACAAGTGATGGCTTATAAGAGGCACTGTCTCATTGTAATTATTAAACTCATTCCCTCTTCTCTCTCAAAAGCACCCTGGTTTGATCGATTAATTCTATAGTCAGCTTCAACACCAGGGAATTTGCAAGTGGAGACTCAACAAGCAACAGAGGCTGGTCACTCTGCAGTAATAGTATTGGAGCTCAGGGCTTAGCAGAAGTGAGAGCAGGCCCAAAGACACATTTCTTTTCCCGCTGAAGTCTCAAGCCAGAGCTAACAAGTCCAGCAAAGACTAGGAGCAGAGAGGAAAGGGTCGTGCATCTCCAGGTGGGCTGTGGGAGAAAGGGACGTCCCCACCCGCTTTACCTGCCTGCCCTGCAGTCCCAGTCAACACCACCTGGCGTTGCCATGGGGACCCTGAAAACTTCCCACTTGTCTTTTTTTCCTTCCTGGTTGAGATCTTGTTTCTGTCAAGATGAACGATTTATCTGTGTTGCATGAAATGTCATGGACTGCGGGCAAAACCAGCACCAACCCACACACGAGAAATGATAACCCTTTGATCACACTCTCACACAAGTTCTCCAAGTCTTTCGTGCTGTCAGTGATTAATTTTTTTTCCAGCACTAAACTTGCTCTCCAGAAGTATTTAACCCAAAAGGCAACTGACAACTTGAGTTGATCTGACAAACCCCTCAGCAGCCCGGGTTTGTCAGATCAACTCAAGTTTGAGTTAATTTGCCAAGTGAATCTGTGGACACCTGTAACTCGTCACCAGTGAGTCAGGGGAAAGACTTTACAAGGTAAAAGGTGGTGATATGTGTCACCTTGTGGCCTCACATGAAGTTTTATCAAGCTATAAAATGCTCAAAGTGTCCAGTGTTGAAGGAATCTCTGTTTTGTGAACTAACACTTCAAAGCTATTTGTTTCTTTTTTTTTTTTTTTTTTTATGTAAGATTAGCCATCATGCAAATCGTACTGGTGAAGCGGTTAATAAAATACATAAAATTGAAGGGTGCACATTTCAGTCCTCGCAAACAGCAAAGCAATAATAAACCCTGCACGGTCCTGAGAGTAGGTGCCTTTGCTTCTTAAAGCTGCCAGGCCTGGCTCCTTGGGGTCTCATGTGTTATAAATTCTGGAAGCTCTTTTAGCTGCAGTTTGAGCATCAGGTGGATCTTCTTCCTCTTCCTCGGTTCGCTTGTGTTTTAAAAACAAGTCAGACTTTAAGAAGCGGCTGTAGCTGTCATATTTCATGAGATTGAAGATCTGGAGGAGAAAAGAAAAAGAGTCTGAAGGCTGAGGCTAATCTTGGCCATGAATCATCCTATCAAATATTTATTAAATACCCACCATGTGCCAAAGAATACAAAGACGTTTGTTAACTCACAGAGAAATCTAAAGCCAGTCATGTGCTGGGCAGGGCAGCGTTCCTGGATAGTTTGGGTCATTACGCAGTCATCTCAATGGAACATATAGTTTAGAGAGTCACACAAATACATCTTTATTTTCCACTGAAGTATACATTCACGCAGCACTGATTCACCACCTTGTATGAGAAGGTCCTTTAAGATTCTCCACTTTATTTGGACAGATAACACAAGGACACATTTCCCCAAGAGCTTGAAATAGCAGAACAGAAACCGTTTCTGTAGAGGCAGTGGGGTTAAGAAAGCCATTGTCATATCAGATGATGCCAACATCGTGAAGACCCCCAGTGAGCCTGGCATCCAAGATCTCAGACAAACCTATTATTGTGCCAAGAATCAAAACAATGCAGGGCAGAGGAGTAAAACTACAGTTAACAAGGAGAGACTTCAGGAACAATTAAAGAAAACAGCAGCCGGCTGCAGAATGCAAAGTCCGGGCGATCAGGCTGAGGCACACATCTTTAGAGAGAAGCGGTTCTAAGGCATGTCAGGTGGGTGAGGACTCCTGACCTGGCTGAAGTCCTCCGAATTAGAGGGCTGCCCTCTGCTGGCACAGCCGGTGCTCAAGGAGCTGTCTGTCCCCAGGCACAGAAGCTTCCTCTGGTTTCCACGGGACCTCTCCTCCGGGCCACAGTCCCTACTGCTGGCATCCACGCCCAATCAATCCTATGGCCTATGCCCTCCTCACTTGCCCTAGGAAAGGGGCAGGGAAGGGAGAAGCAAAAAGTCTTTTCTGGCTGCTGAGGGGTATGGCCTCTGTCCCCCCCTTCATCTTTCTTTCTCAGACCTTTCCAGTTAACTTTCAGGATATTCTGCAGACTGAAAAATCCACACGGTGCACCCTGATGCTTTCACTTATGACATGAACACAGGCTCAAACCAAATGGAAAGTTCCAGAGGTGTTTAGAATGTATCTCACTGCCAGGCGAGGTTGTCAAGTGGGTGGTAAAAACCTGACATCTTTTAAACTCACCCTCTCCCAACACACACAAACTAGTTTGTAAATTAAATGTCTGATGGAGGTACCTCAGGAGGAAATGGAAACCTTCCTTTTCCTACTCCAACTGCAACAGGACTGCCTGAGAATTTTTGCTACGAGTCCACAAGCCAAGGAAAGACTTGGGACTTTTGGTTTTCTTTAAGCTGTTCAGCTAGTGCCTGCCCACTCCCTGGGACCCTTCCAGTCTTACCCAAGCTCTCTATTTTCTCAGAAAGACCCTGTCTCCCTGGGACCCTATCCTGGACCTCTCTAGAACAGTCATCTATTTTGTAGCAATTTTATAATCCTAGATTTGATTGTAATTTGCTGAAGTTTGAAGATAAAAAAGTTTTTAAACCCCAGAAAATACAAAAGTCCTAGCCAGGGGTGAGGCAGAGGATGAGGAATGCCACTGCCCTTTCATGGCTTCCCACAAATGTGCTAAGCAGGTATCACCATCCCTCACCACCTGCACAACTCAGCCCCTTAAGGCACAAGAGCCCCCAAAGGGAACCTGTAGACACCTGTCTAGTTCGGTGTTCAGAACAGATGCTCAAAGGGTAACTAATGAAACCAACGCCATGAGGGTCCCTCTTGGCACCCAGCTCTGTACTCACTCCCATACGAGGTCCACGCAGATGGGACCCATCACTCCGGGCAGGATGCGGTACAACCCAAGTGTCTTGTGTGAAGTCTTTGAGTGTGGGAGAGGAACATCCTGTTTGCCTGTAGTGGCTCTGTGGCCCAGACTTCAAAAGAGAGAAGAAAAAAGGCTGGCTCTGGGGGCACCCAGGGCAAGGGGAGTGCTGGGGGAGGGAAGGAGCCAGGGAGGCTACTTCAGCTGGGAGAAGGCTTAGGGGCTGCAACAGGCTCAGCCTCCAGGAGATCCCAAGAGGCTGCAGGCTCTTCTGCCCAAGCTCAGGGAGGGAGCTATGGACTATTTAAGAAGAGCTTAAGGGCCACTCCCTGCTGCAGCAGTGAAATGCCCCGCAAGTGCATTAGTCCTCAGGCTGGAGATTCCTTCTTGGGGAGGGAGGCAGCCGTGGTCTCAGACAGACTGGAGGAAGGAAGGGATGTGGCCTCACCCTTCTGGGCTGTGAGGAGCCTGGTAGCTCTACATAAGGTGCACAGGAAAGGCTTCCCATTGCCACCCACAAAGGGCCTCCTGGGTCCTGGCTCAGAAGCACTTGGCAATAGGTTGCTCCTGGGACAGAGGCCTCATGGTGGGGCTCAGCACAGATGGCTCAGAGGAGGGAGAATATGCCTAAAATCTCTTCTAAGAAAGTCACCAAAGGCAGTGTGTCCAGCTGCTGACTACAGCCTTATTTATCATGAAGCAAATGGCCACAGCTGGGGTCCCATAAATGCTTACCAAGTACGTGAATAGAAACCACCCAGTGTGCCACAGCAGAGGGTGGGGCATGAACTGGTGGTAGCACCATGGCTGACAGAGGCTTCTAGCCCTCTGCCAGGCAGCGTGTGGAGCAGTCTCTCAGTCAAGGCTCACTGCAGCCTTATGAGAACCCCAACTTTACAGAGAAGGAAATGGGGGCTTATCAGTTCCATTTCATCACAGTTCTGGAGGCTAGAAGTCCAAAGTCAAGGTGCTATCAGGGCTGGTTTTTTCTGTGGCCCCTCTCCTCAGCTTGTAGATGACCGCCTATTCCCTGGGTCTTCACAGGCTCTTCCCAGGTGCACGTGTGTCCTAATCTCGTCTTAGAAGAGCACCAGTCAGATTGGATTAGGATCCATCTAATGACCTCATTTAATGTTAATTACCCCTTTAAAGGACCTATCTCCAAATATACATTCTGAGGTACTGGGGGTTAGGAGCTTGACATGTGAATTTAGGGGGACACAGTCCAGTCCATGACAGTGAGCAAAAGAGACAGACAGGAGACAAACCCTAGCAGGTTCTGGAGCCCACTCTCCTAACCACTAGACCATCCTGCCACTTATACAGCAGGACAACTCACAGTCATTAGAAATGAGGTCTGCAAAGAGAATTTAACACGGAAAACTGTCCATGGATCTTAAAAGACGGATACTCAATTTTAAAAACACATCAAATCTAAAAACGACTATCCCAAATACACGATTTAGGAGTGTGTTTGTGTGTATAGTTGAAAAATAAATATCCCTAAAGCTCAGTTGTGGGTTCAATAGTGTCCCCACTAAAGCTTACGTCTACCTGGCACCTCAGTATGGGACCTTATTTTAAATAGCCTTGGTTAAGGATTTCAAAATCAAGCCATTCTGCATTTGGGATGGGCCCTAAATCCAAGGACTGGAGTCCTCATGGGAAGAGGAGCGAACACAGAGAGGAAAGAAGACCATGGAAAGACAGAGGCAGAGACGGGAGTAAGGCAGTGACATGCCAAGGAAAACCCAGGATGGCCGGCTGCTCCCAGCAGTCTGTAAGCTGGAAGAGGCAAGCAGGATCACCTAGGCCTTGAGAGGGAGCTCGGTCCTGCCAACACCTTAATTTCAGACTTCTAGCCTCCTGAACTGTGAGAGAATAAGTTTCTGCTGTCTTAAGTCATTCTATTTTTATGGTAATTTGCTATGACAGCCCTAGGAAAGTAATACAACTGGCTTACTGATTTCACCTCACTCCCACTCAGGCACAGAAAACGAGCTGGCCCCGGAGGGCCCTGACAGCTCTACAAAACAGGAGTTCCCGATGGGGAGAAGTGGCCAGACTGTGGTCATCACCTGAACAACATGGTCAGACTCCTCAAGTGTCTGTAGAGAAGAGAAGAGAAAAGAGAGACATCAGGTATGAGGAGGCAGCTCGGAGGGGGCAGAAGGCACTGGAGCCGAGCTAAGGCAGATGATCAGTCCGAGGGATGGGCAGCCGCCAAAGCAGAATGCTCAAGTTGGCAGCTGAGTTGCATTCTGGGTCTTTTTTTCTTTCTTTTTTTGGCCAACACGGCCGTGGCTTCGCAAGGTTTTGGGTTTGGCAGCTCCTACATCTGTGAACCGCATGCCTGGACTGTAAACTGTTTAACATGGTTGCCTGGGGACCCAGTCCTGCAGGCTGCCGGAGGTGGGACTCGAGAAAAACGAGAAGGGAGCCTTCCTGCGGATGTGCGAGGGCACGACGCCACGCAGTACAAGGCCACTCGATCATCACGGCGCCTCTCTCTCGCCAGACCCCAGATGGCTCGGTGATTGATTAGGTCTGGACTTTCTGCAAAGAAAAATATCCATGCAGTACTCCAACATCAGACTGCTCAAAAGGACTGCTCTGGAAAGGATTTCCTTGCTGAAGCATCCTCCTCTGTGAGGCATGAGTTGCTTAACTAGCCTTAAAGGCCCCTCCACGAACACTTCGTCACTGTCTTGATTTTTGTGTTTCAAGCCTAGCAAATATTTTAACACTTCTCAGAAGACAAATACAGTAGAAGCTCTCAACAAAACATGCATCCTTCTTCTCCTCAAAACCCTCTGCCATGTTATTTCGATCAGGTACAAGGAGACAAAGAATAATCCTTCAAGGCAATGAAAGTTTCATTAATGGGGTTTCACATTTGCTTCAAGAACGTGGTTTAGCTTTTATGTGAAAATTGCTGAAAGGCCACAAACACTGCCATCTCTGAACCACAGCTCTAGAATGTGTTCTCTCCCCCCTCATACCCAGAAGACAGACAGGTCTTCATACCCACGCAAGCAGATAGAAAGTGGGAAGGAAAAAAGCTCCCATCCCTCCAGCCGTCAGAATTAGCCAGGCACTGAAGAGGCTGCTGTGGCAAGGCACGGGCGGGCATGTGCACCCCTGCAGCGAAGACCATCTCCCCTTTTCCTCAAATGGGAATGGATGCCCTCGAGAAAAGGTCCGAGGGCAGCTGGCAGAGATC